AAACGTGCGCCAAAGCACGCGGTACTCCGACAGCTTAGAATTTTGCCCTTGCCTCTCGCACCATCCCTCGCATCACACCTGTCGGCCCGCAGTCCGCAGCACAGATGGGACTTCGAATCAGTGAGAAGAAAACGGGCCGCCGTCCTACGAGAAGCTCGAGCAGTCCGTCCAGGAGTCTAAGCCCGACTGCGCCTCACCGTTCGTTGCCTCGCGGTTCAGTTCATCGCATAGACAGCAGCGATGATAACCAAAGTCGCACCCGCAGCGGACGAGAGAGTCCACCGCCATCGAGAGCCCCTTCATGGGATGTCCGAGATCATCCAGACCGTCAAAGACACCAATACCAAGCTGTTCGAGCAGATTTTCGAGCAGGAGGTATCGTCGATGCGCGTGTTTCTCGAGCTGCATTACAAGAACGTAAGTGCCCTACATGAGAGAAGATTGCGGTTGAAGCTGGGAGCCAGGAGTCAGTCACAGCTGCTGTAACGGCAACAGTGGATGAGAAGTTCAGTTCCTTGCAGACCCAGTTTGGGGCGATGTTGGCCCAGGTTCAGTCCTCATCCAGTGGTGCGTCTTCAGCTGGGCGCATTCGGTCGCCCGCGTTCGCTGCCAATGCAGGAGAGGGTGGACGCAGTCTCGACGGCCCGCCCATCTGCAAGACCAGGCGCTGGGTCAGAACATTCCCCAGAGCCCTCACATCCCAGCAGCGCCAAGCGAACTGAGACAACATCGTCGCGCCTCCGATCCCTCAGAGCCTGCGTGATGGCGCCCCGTTGACGATTACCAGAGCTGCAAAGTCGTATTCGGTCGCTTTCACAAGCGAGGAGAACGCCAACCCCTTCGCCACAATTTGCAGCGGCTTGGACCTGAGCTGGCGTGACCCTCGGGACAACAAATCCAGCATCATCCGAGTCAGAGGTGACTTACCTCTCGATGTGCGCGCCCGACAGAGAGCTGCGAGTCCCATTTGGCAGCAGGCCTCGGGGCTTCTGAAAATAAAAAGTGGTTGGCCGCCGGCAGTTCCAAGCTGGCAGTCGACGGGTATCAAGGCGTCGCGCATCTCTCGTCGGCGGAGGGCGTCTTTGAATTGTACCGCATCAAGGGGGCATCCGAGACTGGTTTCCAGCGCGAGCCGAACCCTGAGACCTTCAGCGCCTCAGGTACTGGCAGGTCGCGGACAAGGACGTTCTCGACATGCTCGAGAGCGTCGCGGCGGCCAGCGGCGCCGGTCGCAAAGGGTTCCCTGCAGAGCGCAGAGCGCGGCATGCCCAGCATCAAGGAATATATGGGCGCGAGGTCGGCCTCAGGGAGTCGCCTGCTAGTATTCTGCTCGCTGTGCCCGCCTGCGCCACCTTTCCGCTCTCTGTTCAATATTTTGTTATTCGCCCTCCAGAGATCCCGGTGGCCCTGGACAGTCCTCTCCTGTCATCATTGCTGAAGGATCTCTCACACTAGCGAAGTGAATGCACACACTTTATTTGGTAGTCTTTGGGCGTCTCATGATACTCAGACCCGTTATGGGAAATATTTTCGGATGTTTCTGAAGAAGCACGACATCGTTATGCTCCAGGAGACCCGTGCTAATGGGAGAAGACATAGAAGAGCTTCATCGTCGGCTTCCCAGGTTTAGGACAATTGGTTTGTTTGTTATGGAGTCTGAGGTTGCTGGAGGGGTCGCGATCCTGGCCCATGAGAGGATTGCTTCCCTCTTTCAGAGCGCGGTGGCCCAGGAAACCGTCAATGGCCGAATCATGATTGCCCACCTGGCAGGCATTGCAGGTACTCTCCAGCCCATCAACCTCCACATCGACACCGCTCTGTCCCACGCTGCCATCAAGCGCCAGATCTGCCAGATTGCGACCGTGTTCCTAGGCGTCGAATCGGCCACTACTTTGCTCGCTGGCGATCAAAGTCTATGCGCAGCTGGCGAAGGGTGGCTACGAGACAGAGATGGCACCGCGAGTATCTCCTCTCCTCATCTCTATAACTACTGCCAGTACCAGTTCAGAGGATATGCAGCAACATACCAGCCTCTCCACACTCGCGAGACAATCAGGGGCGATAGAGTTATCTCTGTGGGCAGGATTGATTGTGCATGCGTCTTCACCATCCTCATGGTCCTCCTCGACCACAAACCTATCGAGGGTGTCGTCTCGATTCTCTTCCAGGGCAGTTGTCCTAGCGACCGCGCCGCGGTGTTCCCCCTCCCCGCGCCCCCGCCCGCCTATGCCGGCCGCTGCCCCGCGCCTAAGTGGGCGTCGCGATCCATTCGCTGCCGCGGAGAGCTCCACGGCATCATCGAAGAGATCGATCTCTCCGAGGACCCCGTTCAAAGGAGTCTTGATTATAAGGAAGCTATATATGAGACTGCTCGCCGCGCCAGACATCGCCATGAGGTCCGAGGCCCCCAGAATGTTGATGCGCAGATATCGGCTTGCCCTTGCTCGCGCTGCCAGAGCGATGAACAGGCGCGCAGCCATGAGTGCGCGCCTGGCAAATCCGCGCCTGCAGTTTTTTTTCGAGCGCGACGTCATGCAGTGGCAGGACAGGCGGGGCTTTCACGAACCTCTCTCTTTAACGGGAGGAACAAGCACTGCTTGCTGACCCCTCGATTCGCCCCGAACGTAAAGATCAGCGTGTCGCTCGTCTTCGCGAACTCGCTGCCGCGCGGGCCCCTCACGATCGTCGGATATACCTCCATAGCATTGCTGGCCCCAAAGGGGCCCCCGTTCGCATCGCCCGATGACTCTGCCTTGGCCTTCGCGGCCAACTGGGGGGAGATTGGGACAAAGCGCTTCGTGGACCTCGTGCATTTCCAGGCGCTGAAACCGTTCATCCAAGCCGTCTCGGCGTCGACCTCTCGGGAGATTTCAGAAGGCCAACTCGAGGATACCATTCGCCGACGTCGCGATTCCGCACCCGGCCCCGAGGGCATCCAATATAGAGCTCGGAACCCCGACGCCGGAGCCCAGACTCGAGACCCCGCCTCCGCTCGCCCCCTGACTCTCCGTAACGCCGACAACAAGATTATCGCCGCTGCCCTAGACTGCCCGCTCGCCCAAGCCTCCGCCCACCTCTGTCGTGGCATCCAGCGGGGATTGGTGCCTGGCCGCCAAGGACTCGAGCGCATCATAGATGTTGACCCGGACACGGCGATTTTCAATGATAATGAGTATGAGCGAGAAAGTGAGACTTGCTGTTTCGACGTTAAGACGCCCTTTCCGCGTTTGCATGTCCAGTGGATCGAGCACGTGCTCGTGATGACTGGCGCCCCTGAGTGGCATCATACTGCATTCGTGAAGCTGTATCAGAGTGTATCCATTCACGTGAATGTTTAAGACCCCGGCGGGCACTCATACAAGGTCGAGAGAGGCGTCTAACAGGGTTGCCCCTTCTCGGGTGCGATTTTGGCGGCGTGTTTTGAGCCATTCAGATTTTCTTCACAGATGGTCCGGATCTATACACGACCCCGAGTTCTCTTCGCACGGCTTTGCCAGCGACCTCGCCACGGTTGACCCCGACATGTACGAGTCCTTCCAAAAGGTATTCCGTGGGCTCCTTTTTCGGGATAAATCGACTGGGCTCCACATCCGACCGTCAAAAAAAGGAAATTCTCTTCCTTCGCCGTTTTGACCTTGTTGATGTTCGGGCTGGATTTAGGGGGAGAGGTCTCAGCACTTGTGTTCATTATTGGAGCTGGGTCTCGTGAGTTGTCTTGGCAGGGCCCAGTGGCGTCTCTTACTAAGCACAGGTTTCATATGACATCGCTCGGTCTATCCTTCTGCCAGAATGTCGAAGCCTACAACATATATTGCTTCACAGTCTGCAAATATGTGGCGCAAGTGTTCCCGCCATCCTCTGCTATTTTGAAGACTGAAGCCAAGGCTATCACACGTTGTACACGTGGTCCGAACTGTGCCATCACCCTCATCAGGATGCACAACATGAGCGCGTTTGGCTTCGCACAATATGTTCGCATATTATCATACTGCAAGGACGCAGCGTATCGAGCATGCTGCAAGTGTGCTGCGTCCGACAGAAATCGGAGGAGAGTCGAGGATACTCTCGAGGGAGACGACTGTGTGGTGGCGTTTCGGAGTCAATTTATTTGGAAGAGCTCTATCTTGGCCTATATCGAGGAGGTGTGGGCCGAGCTCACATACATGCCAGGCATTCCGTCGGAGCCCCTCCTTGTCGGTCTTCAGACAAAAGCTTTGAAGCTGCATGAGCGGCACAGGTCTCCGAATTGTTGTCGTCGAGCCACCCTCGCTCGTCTCAGGCACTTTTACCCTGAATGCTCAGAACAGATATTAAACCGGCAGCTCATGATAATGGGCTTCATTGGTAGAGACCTCCCGCCGTTCAGTCTCCTTCCCACCGTCAAGACAATCACAAATTGCTGAAACACCACCTCGAGGTACAGATCCAAAATTTTCATTTCGGCTGCATTGCGATGGGCGGTGACCGTCTCCAACGCAATATTCGCTGTCCCCTGTCCCAACCCGAAGTGATGGCTCTCCTCCCCCATTTTCCCGCTGATTGGGCCACCCGGATATCTCTGGCGCATCTGTTTTTAATTTCGGGGTAGCCCTCGATGCCATTATGAATCATTTCAGCCAGAAGCACCTAAGTGGCGTCCCTGATTTCTCCCGAGCGATGCGTTTGATTTCGGGCGAGAGTTCGTTCGATCGCTGTTGCCTCTGCCGTTGCGCCTCAGCTTCTTCAAGGTGCTGTCGTTGCATTTCCGCACGGCTCCGAGTAGGGGCAGGGAGGAAGATTTTGGGAACGGTGTGCGCGCTCCTCCTCCTCCTCCTCCTCCTCCTCCTCCTCCTCCTCCTCCTCCTCCTCCTCCTCCTCCTCCTCCTCTTCCGACTCCTCCTATTCCTACTCCTATTCCCATTTTCCCTCTTTCTCCGCATCCTCCTCCTCTTGCTCCTTGCACGCTGACTGTTGATGCTGCGACGGATGCCCAGAAGCCCTGCGGCCGCTTTCCCGCCGAGGCCTCACGTCCATGGGCGAAGGTTGCGCGAAGCTCGTCGACCGCGTCGCCTACCTGGAGAGGGACGTGGGCGACTCCTTCGAGAAGCACGTGAAGGCGCTGCAGGAGCTGCAGGGTTCCCACGCGACGCACATGGGCGACGTCGGGAGGCACCACGCGAGCATGGAGGACGGCGGGGCCGCGGGCTCCCCGAGGGGGCACGCAAGGGAGCCACGGGAGGACGAGCACGAGGCGCGAGGAGCGACGACAGGGCGATCGGGGGCGTGGGCAGGAGCAGGAGGAGGACCAGGAGGAGCAGGAGGTCGAGGAGGGGGAGCAGGAGGAAGACGAGGATGAAGAGGGGTACGAGGACGAGGAGAAGTGGCAGGAGGAGGAGGAGGAGGAGGACGTCGTCGTCGTCGACGACGACGGCGACGACGACAAGCGGTGGACGACGAGGACGAGCAGGCGAGGGAGAGTCGGACGAGGATGGCGAGGATGTTCGGGCTTTCCGATCGCTTGGTGACCAACTGGTCGTCTGGTTGCTGGAGGGTTCTCTGCCTGGTCGGCGTCCATTTCTTAGCACTTAGCAGCATCAGTTATGGGAAGGAAGGGTAGGTTCTGATGGATATTATCGTTAGGAATATAATGACAGCGCGCTCACCACATGATTCAGGAAAGGCACGAGAGGGAACGAGGGGGTGGTGGTCACGAGCATTCTCTCTTCCTCCTCGTCCTCCTCCTCCTCCTCGTCCGCTTCTCCCTTCAGCGGGCTTGAGGGCGCATGCATGTCAAAGATTGCATCCAGAGCTCCGTCTGTTCCACATGCTCCCTATTCGCATCCTGGCTGACGGCCGACGATCGCCCACGCGACTTGGGGCTGCATCGACACCTGATCCAGCAAGCCTCTCCAGGATCGGTCTCCGATTCTGAATCCGATCACGCGGGCTTGGAGCAACCCTGCTGGAATGCCTTTCAGGACCCACCTAAGCCAAGCCAAGGCTCCTTCGCAGCCTCCTCGCCTACTCCTTATCCCCCCCCTTCTTCGGCTCTTCAACCCTCGGGAAGGGAAAAAACACACAGACACAATGAATCGTCGATTCCCCAGGAAAATATGGGAAGTGTGGGGGAGACAAGAACCCAGAAAATATTGGAGAAGATGGGGAATCCTTTTATTTGTGTGTATCTATTTGTATGTCTCAGGGCCCCTTCAACCCCCCCCTGGCCCTCCTCCAGTCGCCCCCGCTCTTCCCCCCCCCGGTTCTCGAGCGAGCCCGAGGTCGAAGCTCGCCGTGGCCAGAGACGAGAGTCGCAGCCCGGGTCGGCCAGTGAAGAGAGTGTGCGTCCCTCCCGTCGCGGAGGGCGACGGGAGCAGACCGAGGGCCAGGGCGAGGCGGGGAAGGAGGAGGAGGGGGAGGAGGAGCAGAAGTAAGGAAGAGGGGGAGGAGGAGGAGGAGAAAAAGTAAGGAGGAGGGGGAGGAGGAGGAGGAAGAGGAGGAGGAGGAGGAGGAGGAGGAGGAGGAGGAGGGGGAGGAGGAGAGGGAGGAGGAGCAGAAGAGGTCTGAAGCAAGATGGAGCACTCTCGCTGACTCCCACACAGCCCTCTCTCTCTTTCCTCTCTCTCTCTCTCTTTCTCTCTTGCTCGTTCTCTCGCCGGCACTGCATGTCCTCGCTCACCTCCGCTCTCACTTACTCAACTCACCATACCTGCAGCACCAATACTGGCGCATGTAAAAGTCCATGCTGGCGTCTTGCTGCCCGCCAGACACTGTGGTTTCAGATGTGTTGGAGAGAAGCTGCCGATCCTGGACATTACACCACAGCAGATGCATTAGGTTTGTTGCCCCAGCTAAGCGGTTGCTTTGGAGGACTTCGACGAGGACGAAGAGGTTGTGGGTCTAAATCCCGCTCCAGTTTGGGATAATAAAGATGGATTGTACGGACGGAATCTATCCCGCATCTGGGTCGACGCTTTGCAGCAGGAGCGCATGGCGTTCGTGGAGAAGTCGCTCGGGGACTCGGCAGAGAAGCACGAAAGGATTCGGGCAGCGGCGACGAGACTTCCACACCCACATCTTCACTCCGCCCCTCTCCACTTCTCCTCCGTCTCTCGGGAGGTTGGGCGGGAGTGGAGGCGGGAGCGGAGAGACGGAAGGGAAGGAAGGGAAGGGAAGAGAAGGAGCAATGGGAAAGAAGTGGTGAGAAGGGGAAGCAGACAGGAACGGAGGGGGCGGAGGGAGATGTGGAAGAGAATCGGGTTTTGCCAAAAACCCCAGGTAAGGGGACCCGGTTAGTGGTAGTGCCCCGGAGCCCCCAAAGTGGCCAGAATCCCTAAACCAGGTCTGCCGTGGCTGGTGTGTTTCGGGTGACGGCAGTTCTGGTTAGTGGAACGGGGCCTGGGGGGCGCCCCCCACCCAGTACACATCACTAAACCAGGTCCCACTAAACCCAGTTGTGCCAACGCCCGAGAGATGGGCGACGAGCTGGGGCATAGAAAGAGGAAGGAAAATAAAACAAGGGTGGGGGAGTGGGAGCGGATGGGCACGACGAGAGAACACACAGCTATTCGAAGAGGACGACCCAGGGACATGACCAACCCATCTGCACATCTGCAATGTGTATCAATATCCACGGGCTCACTCAGGACGAACAAGCATTTGAAAAGGGTTCTGTCTCCGCCCTTCCAGCTACACGTGAGACTTATGCGCTGGGAGCACGAGAAGCTCTCGTGAGGCGGCGCCCGAGCAAAACGACCTACAGGCGTAATGCGTCGCTCGGCTTGACCTCCTAGGAGCTCACGACAGAGGCGAGACACTTGCGCTGCTGGCTGCACCCCGCGGCGGGAAGAGCTGGTCTGGGTCTGTTATGCACCGCACTCCGAAGGAGACCACCCATGAGCTCCCGAGAGTGCTGCCAGTTGCGCAGTCGGCCCCTCCCAGGGAAGGGGGAGGGGGGGTTAGCTGAAGTCGACGAACAACAAAAAAAGATGCAAATTAACTTTTGGCGATCCGCGCGGATTTCTTGGATCTGCGCTGGGACCCCCTGGCTGCGCCTCCGGCGCCGCCCCTGGCGCGCCCAGCGCGCCGGGGAGGGGGATCCAGCTCAGATCTGAGAAATCTACCCGGACCGTCAAACGCTTATGTTTATGCCGTTCTTTGTTCCTCTATTAAGTCCGCGAGGGAACGCGGTCCACTGGATCTCCCAGGAGCTCACGAAATTGCCAACGTCTGCGCAGCTGGCAGCGCCCTGGGAGGGGAGTAGTAGTTCCAGTCCGCGCAGGACCGAACTTTGCTGGACCCCCCGGTGGTCTCCCGGAAGTACGGGCAGTTGCGCAGCTGGCAGCGCCCATGAAAGGGAGTACATGATTATGTGGGTCATTTCCAGCTACATGGGGAGGGGGGGAGTGCGCATCATCTCGAAACCGAACGCACGTGCGTGCGTTACGCAGTCGAGCGTGTGGAGCATGTATGTTGTGCGCTTGGAGACACATCGGGATCCCACTGTGCAGGTCCAAGGGACATTCCTTTTCTGCGGCGGGCGGGCACGGTAAGAAATGTGTTTCATGGCTGGCGGTGGGGAGGTTAGATCACGAGAGACTACTATAGCATCCGTGGTGCGTGCTGGGCTTACTCTGGTCCTCCTCCTCCTCATTCTCCTCCTCCTTCTCCTCCTCCTCCTCCTCCTCCTCCTCCTCCTCTTATTCCTCCTTCTCCGCCTCAGCATCATAGCCCTGCTTAACCTCATCTTGCAGCTCCTCGTCATCCTCATCTCTTTTTGCTTCCTCCACCGAATTTCCTCCCCATCCCCCTCAGCAAGAATCCTCGCTTGAGTGAGCCGTGCTGTTCTGACGCCATGGCTGGTCAGTCGTTGCTGCTGCATCGTGTCCTGCCCGCCGCCCCGAACCTCACCCCCAGGATGTGCACCGATCTGCGCAGGGCCCACGACAGGCACGCCAGGGAGCTCGGCGAGCTGAAGGAGCGCACTCGGGGGCAAGACCGAGGCAGACAGAGGACAAGGCGAGGAGGATGAACAGGAGGAGGAGAAGGAGGAGGAGGAGGAGAAGGAGGAGGAGGAGGAGGAGGAGGAGGGAGGGGAGAGGAGCAGCGAGGAGGACGGGGAGGACGACAGCAGTCGCTAGGAGACGAAGGAAGGGCAGAGAGCAAGAAAATGGCAACGAGGTGAAGCAGGTGGAGGGGGCCCAACGCTCACGATCAGGACGCACACAACTGCGTCGGGTTCCTTCGCAGACACCCCAGCAGTTCAGGCCCAACGTGCAAATGTGGAAGGCACGCTACGGTATACGCAGTCAAACCCTGCGCTCCGATGTCGTGGACCATTGGCGCGCGGACCGTCGTACGGCGCGAAACTTCTGAGCTCTTGCAGGACGCAAACACTGGACAAGCATATGAGTTCGGATGACGTGGTTGACGACGTTCATACACGTATTGCTTGGATGCGCAAGGTGTAAAGGTATGCGTTGGCTCTGCGTTGACGGCCACACTAGTACACAGTGGGTCATGTGTTGGTTTGGTGTGGCTCGCGTACGCAATCATTAGAAGTTGGCAGTGGCAGCAACCGGTCGAAGAGCTTTACAACTTGGCATCACTGGCGGAGGATACACTGCGCCCATCGTTCGAGTTGCGTCGCTGTCGTTCCTTGAATTCTCCATGCTTGTAACACTACGCCCGATTGCGCACCCGCACGAACAGGCGCACGCATGTGTTGCGGTTCGTTTTGCGCGTTTTCCCAACCACAGCATTTTGAAGGCAAATGAGAGACCCACTCAGCAAATGGAGTCACGTTTCGGAGAGCCCGTAGTGTGTTGTACGCTTTCCCCGCTGCATTCGACAAACCCTACCACCGTGCCAGCGCACAGGCGTAGACGGAGGGGGGTGAATTCAAGGCCCGAGCCAGGTCTGTGTTTTGTCTGAGCCGCTGGCAGGTCTTGAATACCATGTCCTTGTCCTCAGCCTCGTTGGTCTCCGCTTCCTCCCCATCACCCTCCTCGTCATCACTGCTCCTCCCTCTTGATGGTATCGAAGACGCTGATGGCGAATCGTCGCCGCCCCCTGCCTTTTGGAATCGCCCATGTGGCCGAGCGTTGTGGCAAGAGCT